TGGAAGTCGGCTGAGAGCAGGTTCAGGGACTTAGCTACCATACCTGAAGTGTATAAGCTATATTGCACTCTGGCATATATTTAGCAGAAAATTGATTTCAGCTTCGCTTGCACCTCGGCTTACTAGTTTCTCCTGTCTTTAACCATCTTATTTCCAATCCTTCCTTTTACTTGCATCTCTCCACTGCTCTAACGGTACTATAAAGTTACATTGTCATTCACAAGTGGAGTTGTTTGAGCAGAGTATTAGTACTGATTTAAGTGACTGATATCATGGAGATTTTTATCATATTTTTTTTCCTTTTCATTTTTTTGGTAACATAGTGTAATGGGGCATTATAATACTCTTATTATGCCCTTATTAAGTGTTAACAATCCAGTAGCCAGTAGTCAAACGGCTGCTCAATGCTACTTCATTAATGTGAATTAAGCATTTTTAATGCTCTTATTAAGCCTTATCATGGCAGTATGTGCTGATCAATTGGCGTTTATTATTATTTTATACTCTTATTAAGTCTTATTAGGGAAGTATATGCTGATCAATTGGCCGTTATTATAATTTTATTCTCTTATTAAGCCTTATAGGGGCAGTGTCTGCTCATCTCTTGGCTGCTCATTACTACTTTATTATTAAGTAATAACTAGTAAACGAAGCCTTTCCCAGAGCACTTTAATTTCTATAACCATTGTTTTACCCTCATTAGGTCTATTAGGCCAATATCTGTCAAATAACTTATGTAGCCAGTAACTGCTAATTAACTGAGTGCCTGTTACTTCTTTATTAAGCATTAACTACAGTGAATAAAGCTTTTTATTTGTGCATTATGGATCATAATCAAATGCTCAACCCAATGTAGACCCATTGGGTCCACATGGAATCTGCTTATTCATGAACTCTGTAATGAATTTTGCTTTGTAAAGTTTTTATTAAGTCTCAAAAAAGAAAGTAGCTTGTGCTTAGCTGGCTGCTTATTACTAGTTTACTGAGATGCAGTATCTCTAATTAGAAATTTCATTAATCATATTGAAAAAAGTGCACTGACTATACTTAATTTCCAATTTGTACATTGGTTCCACATGAACAAAATATGAGCCATCAAAACAATTTTTTAAATTCACTCATTGTTGAACAGAATTGAGTTTATGAACTATAATTGAGTCATGTGGAACCGATATACACATTTAAATTAAGTAAAGCTTTTCAGTGGTATATTCCATGTAGTTTCAATATTCAGGTAATGGCTTTGAATGGTTATAATGTTTAATAAAAAATAAAAGTGCTCTGGAAAAATACTTAATTCACATTAATTATTGCTTAATAAAGTAGCAACGAGCAGATACTGACTTGAAAAGTTAACAAATATTAACTTGAAATGTTAGTTACCAGCTGTTGGTTTTAAAAGACTTAATGGAATAATAATGGCCATTTTAAATGTTATGCAAAAGATTATAATGTACAAGTAATGTAATTTAGTCTAGTTACTGCTTAGTAAAGTAGTAATAAGCCAAAAATCAGCTTCTGGCATTTTCCACTTTTCTTGGTTGATAGCCTTTAAGAGTTTTTGACGTACCCATGCTCTGCCTACAAATGCATAGATTTATAGCAACTTTTGCAAAATTGGACAAACTGTAGGTGACTGAAAATTCCATTCAACTTAATAAGAAATAGTGGTACATTCAGTTTTTGTGCATTTTATTAATTTGGTATGCCTCATGTGATTTTAGAATATGTTAGATGCATTTTTTATCATGTAATCGAACTAACATTAACATAGTGGCAAATTCTTCATTCTTTATTTTCAGTCAGCTACAAAAACTGATTTAGGGTCCACTACTGAGGAGACTCTTCAGTCCAGTCACCCTTCAAAGGAGTTTACTAACTCTCAGATTAATAACTGTCTCATCACAGTGATTGATTAGTCTACTCGGGCTTTAGCAGGAACTTTTGTAAAAAAGCTGTATTTTGAGTTAGAGTAAGTTTTTGCATGCTGTGTGCTGATTTTAAAATAGTTAATAAACAAGCATTAATAATGTTCAGTGCTGACAGGCACTCATATTTCCTCTGGATCTTTTCCTTGAAGAAACTGGACCTGATTCTGTGAATATCTTCAACCTCAACTCTCAAGCTCTGATGGAACATTGACCAACTCTGGTCAGCAGCACGCCATGTAATAGCACTTCAGGTAAAAACCTTCAGGTAGAAGGAATTTACCAAAACGGCCCCTTGAAACGCTGATAGTAAACGAGACAGGCGACTGATGGATTTAATGCCAAAGTCTTCTATTAAGAGTGAAGCGCTCCTGCCTGGCTTTGGAAACGCATGGTGGCTGTGACGTCTGATTGTAATGCATTGTGTCATGTTGTCAGAGGTCCAATTACTCTGGCAGTTCTTCTGCACTGCTGGAGGATGTAGATTCCTCAGCAATTTAATGAAAAGCACATCCTTGGCACTTTGTGCAACAGATAAATGATTTCTCTCGACAGACGTGTAAATTTCAGTTCTCCCTTCTGAGGTGACATAGGATAGGATGGCCTAGAACTAGAATTTATCCTGATTTGACTAAAACTAAGCCAGAGGGACAAATCAGAGTACAGCAGCATATAGAGTTTATTGTTATACACTAAAGTCTAATCAGTGAAGCTAATTCCCTAAACTGTTGCTGTAGTGAATATGCAGCATCATATACATACATATCTTATTAATGTGAATGATGTTTATTTTTAATCATTAAAATACATTAAAGGCTTTTACAGTGTGTAAGGAGAGCATGCTATATGCTCTCGAGGACCTGAAAACATGTATTTGTTGAATGGTTAAGATGTGTAGAAAGTCATTCAGAGTGGTTTGATGTGAAATGGTTCATTATAGTGAAGTCCAATTCAAGTCTTTGGCCTTTGGGGTGCGAGTCGAGTCTTAAGTCTCTGGGGTCCAAGTGTGAGTCTTGGGTCTTTGGTAGAGAATTTTAGTTTAGTCTCATTACTAGCTGCAGGCACTTCATTGTACAAAGGTATACTTGCCAACTAGCACAATAGCTAATCCAGCTGAAGTTTTAGTTTGTTTTGTCTTCAAGTGTAACTTACTAAACGTTGCCAGTTATATGGCAACTTTCACTATTGTTGCGTCCACCATGGGCCTCGCTGTCATGGGTAGCTTAGGGGGTGTGGCCATGCAAAGTGGATCTTGGAATGTGCCACATTCTCAATGTAAAAATGGACCATTGTTATTGTGTCGTTTTAGTGGTAGTTGTGTTTATTGAAGTAGATATGTATGAGGAGGCTGTGTTTGGTGTTGGGGTAGCCCTGGGCAGGGCACTTCTTGCTGCTGTTGAAGTGCCTGTTTAATAAATAAAAGAGCATTTACATGTAAGCGCAATATTTTCTGCTTCCTCTTCTGTGCCGATGCTACAATGTAATAGCTATTGAGCTAGCTAATTTACCTGTTAGCCATGTAGTTTGAATAGCTATATGGTTTCAAGTCTCTTTCCCTTATAACCATGTATTTCCTGCATGCAGCAATTCGGATCCTTAGACTGAGGGTCTTCCTATGATGAAAGGCTTATTATTAGAGGCCGTGTCAAACATGGTGCTGCTGTGAGTTGCAGGCGAATGGTAGTAATGTCTGCACATGACTAGCAAAGCTGACTTGCGAAGTCACACACATTAGGTTGGAAAAGATTTCATTTATTTACCACATTGGTGTTCAATCCCTCTTGTTCCTGTTCTTTTCACAGGCTGAAATGTACTGAATCTTGTGTCCAAATCAGGTCCTGAGTCATGTAAGTCTGAGGTGAGTCACGAGTCACTCAAAAAGCAATTTGAGTCCAAGTCAAGCCCAAGTCCCCATCTCTGAATTATCAGGGAAATTTCACCATTTTTTTAAAGAGTGGCTCAGTGTGGTTTAAAGGAAAAATGCTCTGTTCTAGAAAACTTTACAGATTCACAGTGGTGGTGATGGGAACCAGACTTCTGAAGAGTTATGAAGAGACGCTGGTGGTTTTGGATAGTAAATGGATTGTAAAATGACTATATTTTCACTGTAGACATCATGACCCCTGGTTACTATCAGCACCACTGTGAAGAAATCAAAGTTGATAGGTTTCTGCACAACAAACCATTTCACATCAAGACACTCTGGACAGCTTTGTTTATATCTCAACCACTGAATTAGGCAGAAATTTTGAAAAATTGATGGAATGGCCCTTTAACATAAAGTCTCCATTTCGGCATCATCAGTGTTACATATATAAACTCAGAAGACACGTCTAGGTTCACTGATCATTTTGTATAGTAAGTGAACTGGCTATACTTGTGTTGTATACATTGTGATGTCTGGTTACTATCACTACCACTGTAAAGGAAGCTGGATTGGTACATTTCTCTACAATGAACCATTTCACATCAAACCACTCTGGATGATCTGTTTTAAATCTCAGAGACTTAAATATTTTTGAGAAATCATTGGAATTCCTCTTTAATTTAGGGTTTGGAGCTCTATGCTCTACACTTGCTTATCTCCCTCAAGCATAAATATGCAAGAGAGAAAAAGAGTGGAGTTTATTTCTCTTCAATATCAGCAGGCCCAGACTGGAGTCTCTATATTTATGCACTGTGGTTTCTGATTGTGACAGATAAAGTTAATGAGCCATACAGGAGGTGCCAGCTCCACTCTGTTTTACAGATTGGAGTAGTTTTCCATGCGTTCCCTCGTCCTTGTGGAGTCATGGAGAGCACCCAGAGCCAGCAGCTTACAGAGATCAGCACCACCTCTACCCTTTTTTCATTACAAGCTGATTACCAGTGTGAGTAAAAGAACAGGTTAGTCTGAAAAACAATTCTGAACAACCTGTATATGTAAGGATTATAAATGAGAGATCCTCAGCACAATCCATCAACAGCACAGACCTTTCTTGGTCTAACGTAACCTGTGTGAAATGACTAGCACAGCTCTGGAACAGGCAAGCTGTGTTCTATTAAGCTGAGGTATTGTCAGTTTGAGCTCACCTTGCACAACGAATAGCCCTCATATAGATGGAACCTCCCCTGCATGAAGACACAGGACTTGTCTTTTACATGGCCAAACACAAGGTGCCCATCATGCCCAGGAACTACCAGAGAGAGAGAGAAACCAATGTGACTTTTTACAGTAACTGCTCAGACAATGCACCATACATGAAAAAAAATATATAAAGACAACATATTACTCCTAAGAAGTCTGTTATTATTATTCATAGAAAGTATATAACCTGTTTATTTTGGAGTTATTATTGTCATTTTGTCTAAATGTACTGTCTAAAGTGTACATAATAAGTCATTTAAAATTATTGACATATTTTTTTACATTTACATTTGATTTTACATTCTGTATCAACAAGTTTGAGTCTGCACTGTCAAACAATGACAAAAACAAGTCAAAAATAAAAATAAAAGATATTCTGCAAAAACAAGACTGTACAAACAACAACTTTTTATCTTCTATTACTTGCAATGGCAAGTAATATATATATATATATATAATATATATATATATATATATATATATCAGGCATAACATTATGACCACCTCCTTGCACCTTGTTTCTATGCTCATTGTCCATTTTATCAGCTCCACTTTCTACCTAGCTGAACTTTGTAGTTCTACAGTTACAGACTGTAGTCCATCTGTTTCTCTGCAGACTTTGTTAGCCGCCTTTTACCCTGTTCTTCAGTGGTCAGGACCCCCACGGACCCTCACAGAGCAGGTACTATTTGGCACTGCAGTAATACTGACGTGGTGGTGGTGTGTTAGTGTGTGTTGTGCTGGTACGAGTGGATCAGACACAGCAGTACTGCTGGAGTTTTTAAACACTGTGTCCACTCACTGTCCACTCTAGTAGACACTCCTACCTTGTCAGTCCACCTTGTAGATGTAAAGTCAGAGACAATAGCTCATCTGCTGCTGCACAGTTTGTGTTGGTCATCCTCTAGTCCTTCATCAGTGGTCACAGGACGCTGCCCACAGGACGCTGTTGGCTGGATATTTTTAGTTGATGGACTATTCTCAGTCCAGCAGTGACATTGAGGTGTTTAAAAACTCCAGCAGCACTGCTGTGTCTGATCTACTCAGTCCAGCACAACACACACTAACACACCACCACCACGTCAGTGTCACTGCAGTGCTGAGAATGATCCAGCACCCAAATAATACCTGCTCTGTGGTGGTCCTGTGGGGGTCCTGATCACTGAAGAACCGGGTGAAATGGTTCTATTAAAGTATACAGAGAAACAGATGGACTACAGTCTGTAACTACAAAGTGTTCCTATATGATAAGTGAAGCTGATAAAATGGACAAGAAGGTGGTTTTAATAAAGTGGCTAGTCAGTGTATATGCTGAACAGTCAAAATACATGTATTCTTGACTGTAAATAAGTATAATATGTAACATATTAGAAAAAAATAAAACTATAAAAACATAATACATTTTGGCATATGCAAAAGTTATGACACATTTTATATTTTATTTTTTCCCAACACATTAAAATCATAAAATAAATAGAAATTGTGCACTAAAACTTGCAGAAAAATGAAATCTTTAAGTATGTTTCCTGTAGAGGATGTGTTAACTTATTTTTACTCAGAAAATCAAAAAGTATTTGACCAGGGGTGTTCAACATTTTTATATGCTGTACAATCACCACCCATAGTTGGAAAATCTATATTTTCAAGATGCATAGCACATTAAATTGTCTGTATACTTGTAACTTTACAACACAGCATTTAAATGCATTGTAGGGATTTGCAGTGTAGAATTTCAGTCTACAGGAAGCAACTCTTCGCTCAGACTTTGATAACTTCAATTTCAGCCTTTCATTTGTATAGAACACAAAAATAAGCTTCATTCAGTTTTATGTGTCATCTTCAGGCGAACATGATGTGATGTATGAAGCAATATCTTGATAAGCTGCTGTGCTGTACCCTTAAGCTGTCTGCGTCTGATAAAGTACCTGCTGCTATAAGACGTTTACTCTTTGCTCTGGGGCTCTCAGAGACACCAGTGAGCATTTCCCAGAGGAAACACTTATATGTCTACATTACTCAGCAAAAAAGCAGCAGCCAGAAAGAAGAGTATAGAAATATTATGATACAGAGAGGAGAGTAACCTAAACTTGTACTCAAAGTAAACCTGCTATTTCTGTTATTTCTGCTGTTTCTGAACATTTGGGGGTCTTAAGCTAAATCCTTCCCCACCTAATGCAATCATATTATTTTATAGGCAAGATTGAAAAAGAATCAATACCTCATCAGGAAAAATGGAAGAAAATTCCTACACCTTCTGCAATTTTTGAAGAGCAATACTTAAAAAAAACATACTCAGGGAATGCCTGGTACCTTGGGGGCCCTATGAGACTGCTTAAAGCAATGAAACAGTGCTGGAAGTAAAAGTACCTTTCCAAAAAACATAAGCACAGAAGTGTGTTAGGAGCTGTTCTCTCTTTCTTGTGCACTCTTGGTCTAATATAAGATGGTAAACCTTAAAAGTAAATGATTTGAGAAATCACAAAGCACTCACCAAGGTAACATAATTAAGTTGTGGGCTGGAGGGAAGGGAATCAGCCTTGTGACCGGAAGGTCACCGGTTTGATCCCCTGAGCTGACATGACTGAAGTGCGCTTGAGCAAGGCACCTAACCCCCAACTGCTCCCCGGGTGCTGTGGATAGGCCTGCCCACTCCTCTGGGCAAGTGTGCTCACTGCCCCCTAGTGTGTGTGTTCACTAGCGTGTCTGTGGGTGTTTCAATGCACAGATGGGTTAAATGCAGAGGTGAATTTCCCTGTTTTGGGATTGATACAGTGTAACTTAATATTAGAATCATGTTGGTGTTTGCTGTATAGATTTCACTGATATTTCAAACTGATATTTCACTGATATTTCAAACATATTTATTGTAGTCCAGAGAAGCACATTTATCATTTTTTGTTTTCCCCAATTTTCTACCCAGTTTAGTTGTGTCCAGTTCTAGCTAGGTCTCCTTCAATCACACAAATGGGGTGGCGGTGGGGGTGGGTGGGGGTTGGGGGAGGAGGTTGGGGAGGTGAAGGCTAGCACATGCTTCCTCCAAGACAAATGAAACCAGCCACCACATATTTACAGCTGCATACGCTTGGATGAGGATACTAACTGCTTATTCTGTCACACCAGCAAACAGACGCCTGTATTAGCTAGCATCGTGCTGAGTTATGGGTGGAGAGGGAGGCCCGTCCTACCCACCCAGAGTGAACGAGGCCAATTGTACTGTCTTAGGCTATGTTCACACAGCAGGTGAAAGTGGCCAAAATCTGATCTTTTTCTTCACGTGGCATAGATGTGTTATCAGTGTTGCTGTGTGAACAGCAAAAAAACACGGAATCTGACCTTCGACTTACGAAGGTGGTACTGAAATCCGACATGTATCCGATATGTGGCAAAATGACTCAATCAGAACAGCGAGATCAGAATTCATGCGACTTTTATGTCCAACTCAACATTCATCATGCACTGTTGCACTGTTGAGAAGGAAAGATGGACGACAACACTGAGGGAGGATTTCAGTGGTGGGATAGTGAGATAACAGACCTCACTGTCTCATCATAAACATCTGGGGTGATGTTTCTGTAGAAACAAAATTAGAAGGCACTTATTGCAACCGCTCTGTGTTCAAAGAAATTTCGAAGGAAATGGCTGGACGTGTCCATAGAAGAATGTGGCTGCAGTCTGAAAGTCTGAAAGCAAAGTTTAAAGAAACCAAGGACGCAAACCAAGGAAGTGGCCATGGCCAAAAAAATGTTTCCTTTTTACAGCGAGCTTGACTGTATTCTAGGTGATAAGCCCAGCTGTCAGCAATTGGACCTTCTTATTAGCTCCTGTGATGCTGTTGAAGACATAATTGAAAACTCTGGGAGTGGACCGGCATCTGTTGGCTAGTGGCTGTTACTGTTGACTCCATTTTGCTTGTTTACCTCTAGATGAGTGTGCCACGTGAAGCACTGTTCTTTTGCACAAATAGGAGCATGATCTGTTCAAAGATCACATCAAAAAGATATTGTCCTGACCGCAGTCTCCCGACGCTTAGATGGTTGCATCACTCTGTATACTTTCTAAAAGGTTTATGTTTCAGCATCAGCATTGACAGATATGTACATGTAAAATATTGAATATAGTAACTAAGTAACAAATATAGTTAGTATTAACTAAATGACAAATGGAAAATTAGATTTCTTTACTAAAAATATATATATAAGTAGAAGCACACATTCAAATCTATCAAAATCCATGTATTGAGCAGGTGAAACTGAGTAAATGCATCCAGCTACTGCTCACCTCTGCGTACTATTATTTTTCATAGGTGCACTAATAAAAGGTGGGTAAGTGCTACATTGCCATCTCATTTTACTCATCCAGCTCAGTAAAAGCATTATCCAGCTTATATATGCAGCTAAAACACAGCTGCTAATGCGCAGAAGGCATTAGTGAGAGGGAATCATTTGTCTGCTTATTGGGCTTTGTTTTTTCAAAGACTCATAAGCCAGAAATGGAATGCTGCTATTTGCTTTGGGCAGAACGTATTTCACTAGCGGATCAGGATGACCATGCCTGATGATCCGCAGCCTATGCAAATATAACCTTGAATCCTGCCTGCCAAGATTTGTTCGGCCCTAAAATCTGCAGCGTAATGAGATAGCAGCTGAATAATTGCATCTGCTCCTCCACGAACTGCTTCCCTTTTCTTCTGTGAGCGCTGACGGATGGCTTTAACAGAAACAAAGGGGGGTGTTAGTGTAGCCATGAAAACGTATTTTAAAAAATATCCCAAATTAATGAGCACATTAATGTCTCAATCAGCATGTGTTTATTTGTTATTTTTCAAAAAACTTTTCAGGGCAGCAAAACAACTGGTAATGAGAAAAGTTACATATAGAACGCTGATGACATTGCTAAAGACTGGAGTTTTAAGTGCATTTGAAACATATGCAGAAAGCTTCACATCATTTTAACTTAATCGACTGTAACTATAGTGATGTTATTCACCATGGGGCCTGATGCTCTAAGCTTCTTGCAGCAGGTTCATGTGCAATTCAGACGCGTTCTGCCTATGTGAAATGTATGATACTCTCAGTTTATGTGCATGGAAAAACATGAATGTGCTTCTCTCCCTCACATATTGTCAGGCCTGTGCACAGATCACTTGGGGGGCAAGGGCTCAAGGGGAATAAAGGGCAACATGAACGTGAATAAAAAGAACTTCATTTAATAACATCTATATCTCTTCATCTTTGACTGAACTTTCATTTTCAGTTTTGTCGGGAGCTCCTTGCTGGCTCCATCATTTCAACATGCCCTTTAAACCATGTTTCTCATGAGTGAATGGTTAGTAGCCCGTCCTGTCACAGTTTGTGGTCATGTACACAGCTTTCATTAATCGGACCTTAATTTCTGATGCATTGTGAGCACATAAATGTGTTCTCTGGAGTGATGGAGCTCCATCCAATACCTTTGAGATGAGCTGAAGTCAAATTTGTGATCCAGAACTAATCATCCAAAATCGGTACTTGACCTCACCAATGCTCTTGTGTCTGGATGCAATCAAATCCTGACAGCAAGGTTCCAACATCTGGTGTAAAGTCTTCTCAGAAGAGTAGAGGCTGTTACTGCAGCAAAGGGGCTGCAGTCTTTTGGATATTTAATGTAATACTAAAATAAAAGCTGAATGATAAACGCAGTAGATAAGCATCAAACAGTCCTTAATATTAAAAGTCATTATCGCAGAGTACTGAACAGCATCTGTTAGGAATAAATCCACTACAGAATTAGAAAGAAAACTATGCCATAATTAATTTTAAGGCCCTGATTGTCTTAGTGCATTTGCTTTTTATTTGTTGCGGTCATTATTCACAATGAACCTCTTACAGTCATCCTTTATTCCATTAATGTAGTAGCAGTACATACGCGCACACAAATATCATTAGGTGCATTTGAACACTTATCAAGATTATTCAGTTCAGCACATAAATATTTAAATATGTCCAAGAAATCATAATAAGAACCCCCTCTGGCAGATATTAGGGACTATTTTTACCCAAGTCTTGATATTTTATTCATGGGCAGCAGTTCTTCATCCTCATGAGTTCACGGCTCATTTTGCCAGGAGTTGGGCACAATTTGTTAACCACACAACAGGACGAGGAGCGCAGTCAAACCTTCCTGAAGCCTCTGAGCTTTCACAACACCCTCAGACACTGCCCGCTGACATTTTTATAGTCCGGATAAAATTACTCCACTGTGACATGCAGACAGTAATTATGGCATAAAACATCAGCCAGTTCCATCCAGGGCATTTTGTTATCTCTGAACATCTGAAAAATTGGTGAGTATTTGAATAAAAGTCTTTTCACAATCAGTCTTTTCTAATCAGCCAGTATGTGAAAACACATTTGCAGGGTAAAAACTGGGCTGATGGCCAGAACTCAACAACTGTTGCCCTAATGGGTCTAAATGCCTTCACCAACGTACCAGAGTCTGTGGTCTTCAGATTCTCACTGGTCTAAATCTGTGAGTGCATTTCCATAGGAGAGCAAAATAATTGTTCTATATTTCCTACTAAGTTTTAACATCAGTGTTAGGTTCAGGGTCTTCTCACTCACCTCATTCAAATCTTCTGAAAAATGATGAGAAAACTTGTTTTTGTGATCAATTTACAGGTTCAGAAAACTATCTGACTTGTGTTTTATTTTTCTTTCAAAAATGTTCACGTTAATATTGTTTTTGGTGACGCTATTATAAAAGGTCCTTTTTAGATGAAATAAACACTCAACAGACTCTCAGTAACATCAACACCATATCCATGATGTAGCAGCAGTGAATTCATTTTTTTAATTAATCACGTAAATAACATTTGTTTGTAATCTGCTGAATTCAGTTGTTATTCACTTTATTTGGAGAGTCCAAATTCATATCTGTGGATGTTTAACCTGAGACTTCACTGAACAAGCTGGTATAGACATGCTGCACACATCATTCTGTAACTGGAACTTAACTGGATTAAATTTCGAGTTAGTTTAGGGTTAGGATTAAGACCAGGGATTAGGTTTTGGGTTGAGGTTAAGGTTAGGGTTAGCTCCAGGGTGAGGGTTAGGTTTTGGTTTAGATTTTTCACTGATACTTCACTGATATTTTATTGATGTGTTACCGATACTCTGTTAAAATACTCTCTTAAAGCTTATTAAGACCTCTCAAAATAATGTTACCCTTTTTTCAAGTCTCAAAGGGCCCATATCCTATAGTTTCTTGTATTTCGTGTCCACTTATAACATTTGTATGTGGTTATGTTTAAAAAACAGTCATAATAAATTTTTACATGACCATTTTCCAACCTTTCTTTGGAGTCAAACAGGCCATTTTTAGCACTGTCTCTTTAAGACCAATATATTGTCACTGTTGAAACAAAACTTTGTATCTTCAAAATGCTAACCTTTCAGAAGAACAAAAACATATTCTTTATCTTTAGCTAATGTAATTTTATTCCAAGTAATTTTGTACTGGTACGTTTTATTCAAGGTTTTGATCACATCAACAATATATAAATGATCTCTGCTATGATTGGCTGCCCTGTATTATGCCTCATTCAAAAAGTAGTCCAGGCTGAAACGCTCCTTATAACTTCAGTGTAAATGGGTGAAGCTAAACTGCTGCAGGCTGAATGGGTGGATATATGGAAATGCATTGGGTTTTACACAAACTCACAAAAAACACACCAGTTCTAAACAGCTTAGTTTCCATATGTGGGACTATATAGACTGTGGAGTGAAAGGCATGTTTTAAAACTTTAACAATGTTTACTTACTACACACAAATAAAAGTGACACAAGTGGTTCTTTGAGCGATGCTATAGAACAGGCCCTATTCTGGCACTGGAAACCTACCACCATGCAGAGCTTAGCAAACCTAATCTAACACACCTCATCCAGGTAATGTAGGCTTTCAGGGGTGTGTGGAGCCAAGTGTGTCAAATCTGAGCTCTCCAGGGTGGTAGATCTCTAAGACCAGGATTGAGCACCCCTGCCGTAAACAAATCTGTTTTGGTTCCCTAAAGAACCACGTTTCTGAGTGTGAAGAACCTTTTGAGGGTTTAATGAACCTTAATGAGTCATAAAGCTACACTAATTTACAGGTAAGTTCTACAATCTTTACAACATGTGGAGGTTCTTTAAAATTTTAAAAAAATTCTCCACACTCATCCATCTTATTTACAAAATGATTAACTAAAGAACCATCCATAACCAAAAGTGGTTCTTCTAAAGTGATTCTTCTAAAGTGATTCTGCCAAAGAACCCTTTCTTTATTTTTAAAAGTGTACATCAAACTTTTATTTCTGAAAGCAAGAAAAACTCATATACTGTGCAATGGGCTATTTAAATGAACCCTAGATGACCCCAAAATGTGGTGCTCTGGTTACAGGAGACATTTTATTGAGAACTTTTTTATTCCTGTGGGTTTTGACAATGATCATGCTCACCTGTGCTCACAGAGAAATTCGGGATGTCCTCATAGCGGAAGACCTGCTTGTTAGAGACGGTCTCTGCGAGAAGGCTGAGTCCAGAGCCACACACGACGGCTATCTTCGGCCTGTGTCTAGTCCTGCTCAAAAGCCACTCTGTGGTGAACTTGCAGTCCTCAAATGAGCAGCAACTAAATGGAGAGAGAGGCGATAATCACATGTAGCATATATTACTAGACATTCTAGCCATTTATTTTAAGGCCCCAGACATGTGGGGACATTAGCATTATGTGTGAACAAGACACACATGTGGGCTTTGTTACAGGAACATGTCATCAAAATGTTCAAAATATGTTTTGCTGTATGCAGCTGTATGCAACAGTTTGGGTGTCCATTATCAAATTACATGTTTTATAGATTTTTATTGTGAAAAGAAGTAAAGCTACTGTACAGAGGACACACTTCTGCACATTGAAATGCACAAATACTGTTTATTTAACATGTTTGGTGATATGTTAGATAATCTTGGCTTGTAAAAAAAATTATTTTTTTTATTTTATTTTATGTGTTAACTTATTTTCACAAAGCATGTAATTTGACCCGGGGTCTTCACACGTTTGATAAGATTGTAACTAACGACAGCCAAACAATGTAGCACTGTAAATGCAAATATTATATCTTCTTAGAAGTAATGCAACAGGGTTACTCAAAGATGATGAGTTAACTATCAGTGGTTAATTGTTGTGCTAGTTTACAGAAATAGTGTTAAATAGGTGAACTCATAGGGGAGGGGAGGGGGTGTTGTGTTGTTTTGGTTAGTCTTGGTCCTTGGTTTGAAATTGGTCTAAAAGAACTGTTACTAAAACTCTGCCAAGAGCATGCTAGGTCTTGTGTGTGACCGCACACTGGACCCACAAGTTTATGCACTATGAGTTAAAACTATTCATGGCAGTATTTTTACTTTTACTGCTTTACTTTTTCCAAATAACCATAACGAAGCAAATATCCAAAAGTCTGAGGGAGAAACCCTTTTCTAAAAACAGTTGCATATAGAGCCATCTACAGCACATTTTCAATTAATCTGAAGAAATATTTCGTTATGCAAAAGGTTCTTTGAGTGTTCATGGTTCCGTTTGTAGGCATTTTGTTTACTAAAGAACCCTTGAAGACCCATCTTTTTTAAGTGTGTACTTGAAATCTGTTTCATACAGTACTTTACTTGAAAGCAGTCAGTTGACTGAATAAATTAACATGAATATGCCTTGTAAGTTTGCTGGATAAAAGCATGGCAAATGGTTTCCTCACTGCTTTCAAGTAAACTGAATTTACAGTGTTGGTGTGTGCAGAGACTGTTTATTAGGGGTTTCCCAGTAATCATGATCATAGTTCTTAGTGTGGATAGATAACAGGTAACCCCTTACTTCAGGTCCTCACACTCAGAAATATATAGAACTTATAAATTAGTTTTATAGTATCTATCGCATAATAAATCATAAGATAATAACTGAACAGGGTTCAAAAGGTTAACTCAGGCATATCTATAGCCAGAAGCAGGGAAGCAGGTAAGCAAGATCAACCAAAAGCAGAACTCTAAAAAAAAAACAAGGTCCATAATTTGCTGTAAACCCATACAAAAGACGTGGTAATGCTGCAGTAGGGAGTATTTAAACACAGACAGTGACAACCTGACAACAAGATATAGGTGTAGGTAATGATGCGGGGGCAGAGCTCTGCAAGGTCCCTGAACAAATAGCTTAAGTAAGTCTGTGACAAGCAGCACATTCAAAATGTAAATGGTCCAGTGGACAAAAACAACAGTCTGTTTAACAATCTACCTTAAATAAAGTTAGATAAATAAGGTGATATGTAGCCACACCCTCTGTCACCCATTCACCCTATCAGCCAGCAGCATTGACTGTTTGCCAGTCCATCACCTGAAGCTTTACATAAATATCAACACAAGTACTGCTAAAAGTAAATATATTTATAGACATAACTGCGTATATATGTATTTTATTTGTGTGTTATATATATATATATATATAATGTTCATTTGGTACAGAATCAACATACCCATAAAGCCTCTCAAACATGCAACGAGATAACTATTCAGAACTTTGAAATGAAACAGCTTTACCATGAATTTTCCTTGCTGTGCATGATTCCAGGCTGTGGAGGGGACAGGCAGACTGTGGGAAACAGACTTGTAAAAACAGATAACACTCAGAGAGAGACAGAGAAAGTATATGGAAATGTTGCCCAAGTGATTGTTTGGGGTCCTCTCATTGGCTGAGCATGTGGTGGGAGAGGAACATTTCCAGGCGTTTCTAGGAAATTCTCTGGTACTGTCCTTGCCTTTTCACCTGTCACGTGTTCAGAAGTTCAGAAAAGTTCAGAAATTCTGAATGGGGGACCATGTTAGTTTCAACATACACTGTTGAAACAATGCTCAATGTACAGCACTGTGAAAAAAGGCTTAGGCAATCTGACATGTTAAGTAATTTACTGTGGCAGTTTGCCAAAGCCAGGGGTGTCCAGTCTTCTTCGCAAGGGCCGGTGTGGCAGCACATTTTCATTCCAACACAGCAGGAGCAGAATCAGGTGTGCTGCTGCTTGTTTGGAATGAAAACCCTGCAGCCACACCGGCCCTTAGCAGATAAGACTGGACACCCCTAGGCCTAAATGTTTGTTTGTTTGTTGGAAAAACACTGAAATTAGAGAAAACGCAATAAACAAAAAACATACATTGATACATTGATACAGCATACAAAAATACATTGTGATTTGATGTTTGTCATCATGTTAGCTTGAGCATTTCCAAAGCTCTCCACTGAAGAAGTCTAGTATTTACAGTTACCATCCAATAACTGCTTCAGCTAATGAGCCCTTCATTAAATTAAATCAGACAAGTTGCTGATGGAAATTAACAAATCCATACAGTGGCTTAAGTTCAGCAAGTATCAGGAACCAAACCTGCATGTTTCTAATCATATTCTTATATCCAAGAAATTGCTAATGGTTTTAACCTTTTTAATGTGCTTTTTATTGTTTTTGTGATTATTTGAACAGTCACTGCTCAAATGACGTTTTATTGATTTTGTAAGAGAAAATATGTTAATCAAATATGTTAAATATGTTAATGCAAATCCTCTATAGTAGTGGTAACCAACTGTCCTCCTGGCGATCTGCTGTGCCACCCACCAACCCCTGAAGCAGCTGTGGCACATTTTGTTTGGAATTCTACAGGAAGGTAAATCTAAACTTAAATATGGCATTTTCCTGATAATTTTAGTGAGCACATTTCTATTTATTTTAACAACATAACATAAGTTTAACATATTGGAAAATGCAAATCATAAAATATAAAATGTTCCATAACTTTTGCAGAGGCCGCATTTTATGTTTTTTTTCCCCAATATGTTAAATTCAGCAAATAAAGAGTAACTATATATTAAATGTACAGAAATATGTTCTCTATAATAGTTAAGCAAAGTTATTTTTACTTCACCAACAATACGTCATTTGACCAGGGGCCCAGACTTTTGCGTACAACTGTGTTTACTCCGGTGTTACATATTGCTCACTAGCAGCTCAACACAAAGTCACACACACAGTTTCCTAGTAAAAGGGGAATTCTCTATCATTTCTACATGTTTAAAATGTAAACAAAGTGGTTCAGAGTGATTTGGTGTGAAATGCTCCGTGCTTGAGATTTTTTCATAGTGGTGGTGATAGGAACCAGATGTCTGAAGAGTTTGATGCCTCTAAAAACTACATCACAGAAAGTGATAAAATGGTTATGAATACACTACCTGATGCTTGAGACATTATTTTATGATAGTTTTGAGAGACGATGTTAGCCTCAAATGTATTTTTTAAATCTTTTTTTATGGTGGAGTGAGACATGCAGGGCACTGCGAGGCAAAAGAGACCCAAAAGAAAACTTATTCTCTCAGATTTTCTACAATTTTACAACCAACAACATTACATATTAAAACTCAAAAGACATGTAGGTTCACTGGCGATTTTGGATAGTGAATAAAATGGCTAAATTTGTGTTAAACATTGTGATGCCTGGCTCCTAAGAGCACCACTGTAAAGAAATCTGAGTCTGTCAGTTTCTCTGCAAATGAATCATTTCACAACAAACCACTCTGAATGACTTTGTTTACATCTCAACCATTGAATTATGCAGAAAAATCGATTTAGTCATGACCAGTTCCAGCTACAAAATAAGTTTTACCTATCACACGATGCTACCAAGCTAAGAGGCTAGCAAGTGCTTCCTCCAAGACAGGTGAGGCCAGCTAAAGCATCTTTTCAAACTGCCACTAGTGCAACATCATTGGACAACACAAGGTTTTTGGAAAAGAAGTGCTAATTATTACGTCAGCTAACAGACATTGCCTAGCATCACACTGAGTTATGCAGGCCCACCTAGAGAGTCCAATTATAAACTCTTAGACCCCCAGCCATGGATGGCTGTGGCATCGCTGCGATTAAAAAATGAAGTGAATTTCCATTCAGCCAGTGGAAATAGTCACCGGGGAGCGTGCAGAAGGAGAATATGAGCTTGTAAAAGCTATAAGGATGAAAGTAGGCAAGCAAACAGCATGTCTTTCATCTACGTGAGTTCAGTTATCTTACCACCCAATTTGTTTAATTAATTAATCACGAGTTTCTTAAGAAAATTTGGCTACCCAGTAGAGCCTGTGTGCTTTACCAGTTACATGCTGTAGAGTTGTTTGAAAGTGTTTTTATTCTTTCTACAGTGAAGAAACAGCTTTAACTGCCCAGCTAAAGGCGTAGGGGACATTTTCAGCCAAATAACTTGGCTTGCTCTTGGCTTTCGTGATACTAAAGTGGGCAATCAGCCATTGCCTGCTGCTTGTAGAAGCTGACCTACAGCTTACCTTGTGATTTACAGCTCAACCTACACTGTTCAGTATTTAACAATTAGATATTGACCTTCATTCATCTATGAGCTCTTACAGAGCCTGGCATCTTTTCAAGGTGCGCCATTCAGTTTTGTTTAGTCAAGCGCTGAATAATGGGCAATAACAAGTGAGTCAGACATGGCCATAGGATGAGCAGACACTTTTACATCCGGTGCTGAGCTCTATAGCGAAGAATCGGAGTGTAGTCCTGAGCCCTGAGGAGTCTTATCACTCCTCTCTAATTTTTTTTTTTAGCCATGAGATGGATTGGCAGGCTTAACTTTGCAGAGACGTGAATCTATCTGAATGCGCCTATGGGTACACAGCACCTGATTCCATGTGCTGCAGCTGTACCTGAGCTGCATACTAAATGGACACTAGAGGCTATTTTGAAGGCCTATTTGAAGATTTTGTCATTTTCTTACTTTATCATGGACCAACACATGCAAACTGGATGCATTGTGGGTTCCAGATTCCCAAATTTCTCTTGATGACTGAAAGAGGAGGAAAGTACAGGGGTCAGCACTCTACGAGAAGTCCAAGGTAACACCTGTTAATGAGTAACATGACTGCTTTTACAGTTATGTAACAGAGGGTACATTGTGTCTATTCCAACCAGAAACACTGTGAACGTATTGCCCACTGAATTCACCTGTGGGGCTTTGAACGGGGATCATTTAGCTTTGTCACGTCGGTGGTTTCAGCCGAGAGGACACAGGGAAGGTGGCAGCCGATTATCTAAATGGAAATTGAACAGATGTTTCTCCTGTGTGCTTGATTGTGTACCTGTATGTGTGTGTGTGGTGGGGGGAGGGGGATTTTAACCTAGCTTTTTAATTAAGGACAAATCTGTTTTCACAGCGTAAGAACGTGATCAGCTCCCTTAAGCACTCATTATTTCTATAAACACTTTTTAACTTTACGTTGTATATTGGTAGTAAACATTAAAGGTGTTTTTCTTTCCTATTCAGTGCCAAAATTCCTTTATATTCAATTGCATTGATTTACATACACTATGCAAGCGATTAGGGATAGACCTACCTTATATCTATAGTCATTGGCCATTTTATCAGAAACACCTAGCAATTTTTGAGCGAAGTGTAGATTTAGAATTACTGTCTGTAGCTCATCTGTTGCTGTACAATTTACCAGCCTACCAAATCAGTCTACTCTGTCCAATAATGGAAAGGGACCACCATAGGACCACCACTGACCAGATGCTATATTAGTAGCGTGTTAGTGGGTGTTGCACTATGCATATATATGAGTCTATGAGGTGCAGAAGAATTAATTGTAACCAAAGTGCACCTATATGACAGGAAAGGGCCAGTGAGTGAGGGTACAAAGTAGATGTACCTAATAACTAGTGATTCAGTGTACAGTGCTGGGCAAATGTCAGAGACCACTCTTATTTATTTAAATTCCTGTGAAAATGGACATTAAGTACAGGAGATATTACTGAGGAGATTAGATATAAGATAATTCACTTGCATAAGGAAGGGGAAAAACTGGATTTTCCAAAACCGGAGGTCAAACAATTTTTAATAAATACAGAGAAAATGGGTCTCATAAGAACCATAGAAGACCTGAAGACACCAAAACTGTCACCATCAGATAAATAGTAACTAAAGATTTTATCTTTGTGTTTCTGTCCATCCTTCCACTATGAGAAGACGACTCAACGTTAGGAGTCTGAAAGGATGTGAAGCTGTCAAAAAGCCCTTACTGAAAAAAGGAAATAAACGAAAAAAACCTCACAAATCAAAAACCAAGAAGCTGCTGCTGTTCTCAGAACAATGGGCTGACCACCCCAGAGTCCTGACCTGAACGTCACTAGATGTGTTAGGGATTACTTGAAAGGTGAGAAGCAGAAAATGCAACCAACTTCTAAGACTGAACTTTGGAGTTGTGGAAAAATATCCATGCAGATTTCTTTAAAACCTGAAAGCAAGTTTCCTGAAAAGAATGGAAGCTGTAATAAAGGCAAAGGATGGATACACTAAATACTGATGTGTGTGTGTGTGTGTGTGTGTGTGTGGGAGTAATGAAACATGCTGAGCACTTTATTACAAATAAACAAATGTGTAAAGTATCCTGAAAAGAATAGAAACTGTGATAAAGACAACGTGTGGAGACACTAAATACTGAAAAAGATATATTATATTTAGTTGTTGAGGCTTCTGTGTAATTTTTTGTGAAATATTTGTGAAAAACAAACCTTTACCTAATGACCACTTTGACTACAAATGAAATAAATGAAGAGTAGTCACTGACTTTTACACACAGTACTGTATATATGCCATAATAAAAGTTGTAGGTCAGCTAATAAAGCCATACAGCTGGCTGATCAAAACTGCTATAATCAGGCTTTAATAATAAT